AAAAAAAAAAAAAAAAAAAAAAAAAAAAACAGGGGAAAGCATGAACGCAGTCCCCCCTACCACAAATTATGCAGTCAAGTTTCCCACATTTGGGGAAATCGCACAGGTCAGCACATCTGGAGTGCAATGGATAAGCCTCGCCCCGGGAAAACCGCCTTCGTGGTCATGGTATCTCCCTTGCCAGGTAGGCACTCCATTCTTGTTCTTACAGTCTATTCTAAACACAGCGGCCAGAATGTTCCTTTCAAAACCAAAGTCCATGACACTCCTGCTTTATTCAGAGTAAAAGCAGTCTTTGACACTGCTCTCTTTATTACTTCACACCTTATTCACTTTGCTCCAGTCACACTGGCCTTGCTGTTTCTCAAACAGGCATACCCCTGGCCTTAAAGCCTTTGTAATAAGTATTCTGCTGTTTAGAACCCTGTACCCTAGATAGTTATGCGGCTAACTACCTCCAGCAGGTCACTTCTATGATGCCTAATAAACATCTTGCTTAAAATTGCAGTTACAACAGGAGCCAGACTTAAGTGGTTCCCAGTGGCCAAATATGGAATAATTTTATCACCAAAATCAATATAGTAATGAATCATATATCTTTAATACATCAGAAATTCATAAGTCCATGCTGATACATACATACATACTATACATACATAATAAAGGAAGGTTCTTGCTTATAATAAAATACTGAGTTCTAATGGGTTTATATGGAGAAAGTACTACAGTTAGAAAATCATAGTGAAGATTGGATCAGGCAAGGGTAAGTAATAGATGTTGAATCTAGGAGAAAATTTTGTTGAAGAGCAGGATATTGACATAGAAAAAAAAAAGTACCTCCCCACAGATTGTTTATTCATTGCTAAGAAAAAGTAAAGTCTGCAGTGGAAGAATTTTGGATAACATCTTGATTAGGTGATTGAAATTAATATCACCAATGATGAGCAGCTGGATGCCATGTGCCTGTAAATGATCTCCCCTGAGAAGGACATGGCATCACCTATGAGGTATTATATTATAGCTAAGAATGCAAAACCTCAATCTAATCATGAGAAACATACAAATTATATTACAGCTAAGAATGCAGAACCTCAATCTAGTCATAAGAAAACATGAGAAAAATACAACTATAGTTCCTTTTTGGAAAAGAACTATATTCTTCAAAATGTCAGTTTTATGAAAAAACAAAGGAATACTCTTGAGATGTTTCATACTAAAGGAAAATAAAGAAACATGAGAAATCAAGGCAATACCTGACTCTCCAGACATAGTGGAGGGAGGAAATGCTATCAAGGACATTGGTGGGCCAAATGATAAAATGGGAATATGCAATGTAGATTAAAGTATTACATCAATATTACATTTACTGACGTTGATAACTGCACTGTGGTTAAGGGCAATAATATATTCAATTTACTCTTAAATGATTCAAGTAGAAATATTGCGTGTGTGTGTGTGTGTGTGTGTGTGTGTGTGTGTAGGGGAGCAAATAAAGCAAATGAAGTAAAACAATAACAACAGGTAAATCTGATAAAAGCGTATCTTGTGTTGTTGCACTATTCTTTGTCTTGCAGCTCTTCTGTAAGTTTGAAATTATTTCTAAATAAAAAGTTTTAAAAATCACTTGCAGTCCACCACTGCCCTCTATCCCCCAGCCATGGTGCTTCCAATCCCCTTTATCTTGCTCCGCTCTTTATATCAAGGCAGTATCACCTTTAAACATATCAATTTCCTCATTTGTATGCTTATTACCATCTCTCCTTAGTAAACTGTAAACTCTGCATAAGCAGAGTTTGTTTTTGTTTCTTTTCCTATTTTGTTCACAAATGCATCCAAGACCATAACAGGTCTCAGTAACAGTTCAGGGCACAGAGCACACTTGAATAATGAAAGGGTGGCTGAGAGGCAGCCAGTCCCCTGGGACGCCTGCCTCATCCATTACCCTAAAGCAACTCCTCCACACCTCCAGCATGGCCTGGAGGTTAATTCTGTGCAGAAATAGAAGAAAGAGCCTCCTGACCTGGACACACTGGGCATAGAAAGAGGCCAGGGAACATCATAAAAACAGAATAAGTGAAAGCCAAAGCACTAAATGCTAAGACACTCTCACATGCAAACTCCAGCTCCTTGAGCTGTTTGCTTCAGGATGCTGCGCGTTAGACAAGTGGTTTAAAAATGTTTCTCTGAAGAAACTTAATCGCTCCAGAAAAAAATATGTATACTGGAGAATTCCACACCAAAAAAAGTTGGATACCTGTCCAATTACCCTGTAGTACAGGTGACCAGCTGACAAAATCCAAGCCCATATAAAACCTCCCTATAGTTTTGGTGCCTCATTCTTTTTTTTTTGAGCCTAAGTCTAGCTCTGTCACCCAGGCTGGAGGGTAGTGGTGCAATCTCGGCTCTCTGCAACCTCCTCTGCTTCCCGGGTTCAAGCCTCCTGAGTAGATGGGAGTATGGGTGCCTGCCACCATGCCTGGCTAATTTTGTAGTTTTAGCAGAGATGGGGCTTCACCATATTGGTCGGGCTAGTCTCAAAATCCTGACCTCAGGTGATCCACTGGCCTCGGCCTTCCAAAGTGCTGGGATTACAGGCATGAGCCACCATGTTCGTCCTGGTGCCTCATTCTTTAATATAAAGATAATGAAGAAGTACCAGACATTTGAGTAAAGTTTCACTTACAATAGACAGATCAGTATTTTTTTAAAAAAGCATGAGAAAAGGAATTCAGAATGAACACAGACAATGCAAGAGCCTAACAAAATTCTAAAATATGTGTTTTCCTGAGAGAAAGAGTGAGAGTAAGACAGAGAGAGAGAGAGAGAGAGAGAGAGAGAGAGAGAGAGATCGATCCATGAAATAAAAATAAAAAGGATATTACAAAAAGGAAGAAAAGAACAAGAAATTCCTTAGAAACTATTTGCATAGATGCCAAAATCAAAAGTTTAATTAGATGAATTGGAAGATAAAGTTGGGAAAATATCCCATATTTCTCATTGTAGAAAACTAAAAATCCAAAGAAATGGATAATGGTAAAGAAAATAAATCAAGAAAATCTTTTCTGAAAGTATAACACACAAATAAGGAGAAAACAAGAAGAGAGAAAAAAAATACAAGAGTTCCCAGTATGTAAGTATGCCAGTTTCTAGATTAAAAGGATAAACAGTCCAAGGAATATCATCATAAAATATAATACTGAGCATAAAGTGAATATTCTAAAATTTTCCAGAGGAAGAAAACATTTCACAAAAATAATTAAAAACTCAAGATGACGTACTTCTCAATAGGAGAGCTGGAAGAATTTAAAGCTCAGCACCAGATGCTACTGGTATTGATGGGAGGTGAGGATGGCAGGCTATCTTGTTGGAGAGCAATCTTCTTGCCAAGAACAATTAGAAAAGTTGAGAAATTCTTTTAAAGTCCCTTTGAAGGCATCAGAGGCAGAGGAGATTTGAAGGCTAAAATGCTAGAGAAAAAACTTCAGAGAGGAGTGCTGAAATAGCTTTTCTTTGTTATTTGCTGATTTGCAAGCAGTAGCTAAGAGGGCAAGAAGCTGAAGAGAGTTTCTGAAAAATCTTGTGGGCTTAAGGGAAAACCTGGGAATTCTGTGCCCATTAAAGAGGAGGTACTCTAGGCTTAGTGGAAACTATTAAAGGACTATACCCTGGAAGTAGCAATGAACTGGAAATAGGCCAGCCCCTCCAAAGATAGCTTTGATTCAGCCCAATTCCCAATGGCATCAAAGTGATCTACCCTAAGTATAACTGCAAAAGCAAAGGAAAATCCTCCCTGGAGGAAGATAAGATTCTAGTATTATTTCAATAATTTTTTATATAATGCCAGGTATTCAGTTAAAAAAAAAACTTACCAAACTGTAATGGCCACTTTTACATGTCAGCTTGACTGGGCCACAGGGTGCCCAGATATTTGGTCAAACAATTTGGATGTTTGAGGGTGTTTCTGGCTGAGATTAAATTTGAATGGTACACTAAGTGATGCATATTGCCCTCCCTAATGTGAGTGAGCCTCATCCAATCAGTTGAAGGCCTGAATAGAATCAAAAGGTTTAATAAAAGATAATTCCTTCTGCCTGATCACCTTCAAGCTGGGACTTTTTTATTTTCTGCCTTTAGACTCAAACTGAAACATCAGCTCTTCCTGGGTCTTGAGTCTGCCAGCCTTTGGACTGGAATTAAACCATCAGAAATTCTAGTTCTCAGACCTTTGGACTGAAACTAGAATTATATCATTGGCTCTCCCGGGTCTGCAGTTTGCTGGCTACAGATCTTGGGATTTGTCAACCTCCATAAACACGTGAGCCAATTTCTTACAATGAACCTCTTTCTATATACATACATTCCATTGGTTCTGTTTTTCTGGCAAACCTGGACTAATACACAAACACATGGATAGACAAGATAACATAACCAAAACAAGAAAGGAAAAAGCATAAGTAAAAATGCAACCATATGATAGGCAAAAAATATAATAGCTAAAATTGAGGATTAACAGATGGGTTTAAAGGTGTTTATACATAGCTCAAGCAAAGATTAGTGAAGTAGAATGTAAGTCAGAAGAAATATCTACAATGAGGCAGGGAGACGAACAAAAGAGTTATCGTATGTAGATTATACTTCAATTAAAAGGAAAGCTGAAAAATCTAATAAGAAAAATTAAAGAAATAAATACTAACTATAATACAGGGTGGAATATAGAAGAATTATGAGAAAAAGTGTTATGAAGGAAGGACAGAGTGAAAATGACTGGGAATAATCAGGAAAGAGTTCATACAGGAGCTTATGTTTGAGAGGATGTTCCAGAAGAACAGAAGGCATCAGTTAGGTGGTGTGGGACAAAGCAGAAAGGAAGCAGTTCAACAAAGGCACACAGATAGGAAAATATGTATCTGGACAATGAGAAATTATCATCATCAGGATGGAGCCCTATGTGCAGGGACTGTAAGGCAAACACAGAAACTACGAATGGAAGGAAACAAGGGCCTTAAGGAGAACCCCCCTGGTACCCAGACAACCAGAATATGTCCCTAAGTTTTTATGAAATCTCTTCTAAAAAAATGTCAATCGACATTAACATAGTATTACTGATGCTCTCAGACGTTCTCCTTTGTAAGAGGGTATAAGAAGCTCCTCAGTGTCTTCTTGAGGGTAGCAGATTATGAAAGGGAAAAAGG